GCATAGTGAATTTCTTGGGCCTGTCGACGTAATATATCTGATCAGTGAATGGAGTTTTCACTAGGGAGGCTTTATGCTCCCTGGCCATCTCGGCAGGTGTCTGAATCCTCAAGATTTTCTTTTTATCAAAAGTTTCTTGGACACCTTCTTGAATGCCATTCGTCTACACTATGAGTTTTTAGCTAGATTCGGCCTGTTCATCCTGTGCTCGATGAGGGTGGTTGTCCGAAGCTACTGCTTCGGTTCTTGCGCTTTGTTCTTGCTGACTCTCATTTGCTGGAGCTTCATCAACAGGGGGAATATTACGATTGGGAGGAGCTTCATCTACAGAAGGGATATTTCGGTTGGAAGGAGCGCGAGCCACATTGCCTGGTGGTGGCTGTGGTGCTATCTGTGCCATGGCTGTCTGGAGAGCATCATTCCTCTGCTGAAGCAATGTAATTTGAGTTGTGCTGGCCTTGTTTGCTTGACGAAGGGTCTCGAATTGCTGCAAGAACTCCTCTCGCATCTTTTGCATCCATTCCATCTATTGATCGGCTGTGGCTCCTCCGATTGACATTCCGGATCGTAGTAGCATAAAAGAAATCAAAACACTCGTGGGGGTATATTTCTATACGATTCTCATAAACGGCGCCAAAGTGTAGGTGCAAATAATTCGTTTAACTAAAAAGCTAAAAGAATTATCACAACTCACTCAAATAAAAACAACTAATAACAAGAATAACTCAAAAAAAAGCTTGTAATGTTCAATGATCTTTATTGGAGGTCTAAGCCTTTATTTATATACAAAAAGGTAGTGGATTTATGGTAGGACTCGCTATACTTGTCCTCCAATACATTCCATATACAACTATTTTCCTATAAAATTCTTCACTTCTATAATTCCTTCAATCTTAGACTTTGCCTGTGCATGATTTCCTTATATGAAGAATCCTTTGTTAAAGAGGATTCAGTTACTCTGAATGGTCTTGGATTGCAATGTGAATGGACTGAATGAACCCTTAGCAAGCTGGGAGGTTAATATCAGCTACTTTGGGCTGATACTGACCCTGTCTGTGCCCGGTCGTAATTGGGCTTTGATGGGTTATGAAATTATTGTTTTTCTTGATAACGACGTATATGATTTTTACTAAAGGAGGATTTTCCCCTCCATACCATAAAAGTACCATCTTCTTCATGCAATATATTTATAAAAAATTAATAAATTACTTAAATAAAAAAATACATTTTTTTATGTAATATATTCATTAAAAATTAAGAAATTACTTAAATTATTTTAAAATTTTCTACTCAAGAATTTTATTTAAAAATTGATTAAAAAAATTAAAGTTAAATTTTATGAAAATTTAATGAAGAATATGTCATCAAATTAGAATAATTTTTTTTTATTTAGTTTATTTCAATAAGAAAAATAGATTAAGTGTAATTCAATTAGAAAGGGTATTATGGTCATTTAATAAAATATAGTCAAGACAATGGGGCATTTTGTAACTAAATGTGATAGTTCAAAGAGTTTTATGCATAAAATCTACTTTAAAAAATTTATTTACAAATTCAAACATAGTTTTAGAAGGAATTTTTTACACTTTACCCAACAATAATCGAATAATATCGCTAATACATAATAACATAGACACTTGAGTGTTTTACAATGAGAATGAGAAAAGGTAATAACTTTGATAACTCTATGAGTAATAGTTGAACAATTTCCAAACACCCCAACAATTTTAGGATTACACCGTGTCCGATAATGGTGTCCCATAATAGATGCTCGTTTTGGAAGTAGACCTTTCTCACATGGATATAAAATAATTGCATTACCACCTTTGAATTACCAAGTAGCTTGATCTTTCAAATATATATATATATATATATATATATATATAATTTTATAAAATTTTAAGAATATTTTATAAAAAAAATATAAAATAATTAATTTAATGAGACGAGGGAATATTATTTGGTGACTTGTATAAGTGATATGATATCGTATCAAAATTGTATTATATAATTTCTGATTAGCATCATCTTTATATTATTAAAAGGCTTTTGGAGTAAGCACGGACAAACACTTCCCAATTATAGAACTGCTAAAGTCCAAATTAACTAGTATTATTTATAATTAAACTAGTTTGTAAAAATGGAAGCATCTACAACAGTATCAAACGCCAGTCCTTCTTTATGATTTTAAATGCGCGTCTTACATGCATAATTATTTGAGTATCCACAATATAATATTAAGAAAATCAACTAATACGATTCACTAGTAATTAATTAATTCTTTTTGAAAGTTGTAACTACTAATTAATTAGATCACAGATATATACAGTAAATAGTTTTCAGACATTCAACAGCCTTACTAGATACAAGGCTCATTGTTTTAATTAATTTTAAAACACTTATTTCTTTCTCTTAATTGCATGTCAACCTATTTTGAGGCTTTGAGGCTTTGAGGCTTATATACTCCAGAGAACTAATTGATATAATAAAGTTCTAACATATATAAATTTAAAGATATTACTTACTTCCTCCCATGTGAATAAGTCATACTGATTTCTGATGTGGTCCAACCACAAATTAATTTTTGGGTAAAGTACAGCCACACTCTCTGAGGTTTGACAAGTAAACACTCAGAGAAAACTTATTTATTTTTTGAATAAAAGCACCCCCTGAAGATTCAAAAATGAATAAAGACACCCATTTACATGAGAAATTGACCAAATTACCCTTTGACCATTTAAGAGACTATTTTAACTTTACAATTTAATAAATTAGACCAATTTACCCTCATGAACAATTTATGCATAAAAAAAAAATTTATATTGTTCACTTTTTTTTCTTTTTCTTTTTTTTTTTTTTTTTTTTTGATTATTTACTTTATAAATGTCCCAACTTCTTAAAAATATAGACGTCTAAAATAATTTTTTGATTCAATACATATATTTCAAATAAATTATATTTTGTTATTACTTCTTACTTTTTTATTTTTAAATTAAGATGCTTAATTCTTTCATCTAAAAAATTAAACTAATCTCTTTTCCTAAAAATAAAAAATATGGTATTAGTATAACTTTATGCATTTTAAATTATATATCAAATATTATGTATTTCCCAACATAAAAGGGGAAACAAATAATAATAAAACAAAGGGAAAAGAATAATAATAAAACAAAGGGGGAAAAGAAAAAAAAGACATGTATAAAGTTAAGATGCATAAAGTTATACTGGTACCATATTTTTTATTTTTAAGAAAAAGAGATTGGTTTAATTTTTCTAGATGAAAGAATTAAGCATCTTAATTTAAAAAAAAAAAGAAGTAATAACAAAATATAATTTATTTGAAATATATGTATTGGATAAAAAAAATCTTTTTAGACGTCTACATTTTTAAAAAAGTTGGGACATTTATAAAGTATATAAAAAAAAAAAGGGAACAATATATAAAGTTTTTTTTTTTTTATGTATAAATTGTTCATGAGGGTAGATTGGTCCAATTTATTAAATTGTAAAATTAAAAAAGTCTCCTAAACGATCAAAGGGTAATTTGGTCAATTTTTCATGTAAATGGGTGTCTTTTTTTATTTTTGAATCTTTAGGGGGTATCTATATCCAAAAAACAAGTAAATTTTCTTTAAGTGTCTTTTTACCAAATCTCATGGAGTGTGATTGTACTTCACCTTTAATTTTTTTATATACACGTGCTCCAATAAGACCTTATTGTCTCTTTGTATCATAGAGTTTCACTCATATGGCCATAGTTGATTCCAACCCCAACCCCAATGATTTGAACAACTGATTCTGAGAACACATGGTTGAAAAGGGAGTCAAATGTGTCCAAACAGAAAGAAAAGAAAAAAAAATTGTATTGGATTAAGAAAAAAAAATATATATAGAAATGAATAAATTTCTTGACTATCTAAATAATATGAATCATATATTAATTAATAATATTGAAAAAAAACTAGAAATGAATACATACATTTTTTTTCGTAAGCGTCATTTAACGAAAATGACTAAAAGTGTATTTTTTTTAAAAAAATATATATATTAAGCCATATTAGTGTTATTTTTTCTTTAATTCTCTTGAATTTATATAACAAATATTACAAGCAGGTAAAAAAAACCTAAATGAAAAAAAATGATATATTACAACATGAACTTATATATTTATTTGACAAAATTTGAGCTTTCAAAAGTTAAAAGGTTCAAATTATAACTTTCTATAAGTTGAGTGGACCCCACCCAAGTTTAACTAAATTATAAACTCATAATTGCTGGTTCCATGGGCTATATATACCCATGCCCGTCTTCCTTTTTATTTCAAGCCAACTCTTCCTTCTCTGTTCTTTCTGCAAAGCTATTTCCCATCTCTTCTTTTTTGGTATGTAAGCAATCTTATTCTTTTCTATTTTTGTTTTATTTTCTTTATTGATAGTCAAAAAGTTAGATATATATCAGCAGCAAATTTATAGCCAGGAATAAGTATGTTGTTGTTCTTTCATTTTCGCGTATCAAGATTATAACCTTCAGTCATGGTAGCTAGCCTTTATTCCATAACCCGTACATAACTATTCTTCAGTGTTGTCGTGTAAAAAGTTAGCCAGAAACTCCCAGTGAGTCTGGTGACCTCAGATCGATACAATGGTTTCATATATAATTACGTGCATGCAATGTGACAAAAAAAAAATAAAATAATAGTTGTATACTTAGGTCATCACTTGGGTGCCTCAGATACTCCACGTTATCCCAAAAAAAAAAAAAAAACACTTAATCATCACATCCTGAAATACTTCACTCTGCATGCAAGTAGTAACTAGTTCATTAATTAAGGATTCATATTCCTCGGCAAAGACTGTGCATTTCTACTTTTTCTTTAATAGCATACTTGTGTGCACACGTAGATAAACACACACACATATATATATATATATGCATTTTTTTTATCTAACTACTTTCTCATGCAAATTTGAAGTACTAAACTTAGGTAGAGTTTGGACTCCATGGAGACTGGGCAGACAGTTTCTTTCGGGCCCTATGGTGGACAAGGCATTCGTTGGGATGACGGAAAATACAGCACGATAAGAGAATTAATTATATATACTGCCAACGAAGAATTTTCTGCCATCAAAGCTGTCTATGATGACAAAGGAAAGGAAGTATCGGGAAAAACAAACGGTAGTAGTCTCCGAACACCAAACTCGGTAAGATATATATATATATATATATATATATATATGCGATTTGATTTTCAAATCTGTGACTCATGCACAAATTTGTTTGATTCTACATATATTTGTTATGCTTCTCAGTGTTTGTAAAAGCTAGCTAGCTAGACAAAATATCATCTCCAAATATATATATTTATATATGGACTATATCACATTTTTATGTGTATATATATAATGAAGAAAGAAAATAGAAAATAGAAAAAGAAAATTAAAGTCAATGAGTAAAACGATTAAAAAAAGATCTAAAATTAAGCCACATTAGCATGTCAAGGTTTCAAATCTTCAAGCGACATTCATATCACACTGATGAAAGTTATATCAATTAGTCAAATCGTTGAACATATTCCTATTCCAATTGCTTATTCTAACCGTTGAACATATATGCGTATACACAGGGATGGAGCCAATGTATTGCTAGGGGACAGCTTGCTTCCCCTGCTCCATCCAATATATTGTATATATACATCTTATATATTTTTTATGTACATATATATGAGAAATTATACACAGTGTCTTCCTAAAATATTCAATTGCTAAAATATTTCTTTAACTTTTTTTCTTTCTTTTCTCTTTTACTATTCTAATTCTTTTGATTCCCTTGGGAAAAAACAGAAGAAGTTATTTTCCGCTTCTTCAATCAAACCTTAATTTTTTCCTTTCATAGTTTCCCATTTCATTTTTTTAATTATTCGTTCTTCTTCGAATTCTTCTTTTCGCACTCATGTATGTTGTATGTATTGAAGCCTCTTTTTTTTTTCCCCTTTTCTTATTCTTGTTTTCTCTTCTTCTTATTTAAATTTATTATTGTAATTTTATGAACTCAACTGTGCATTTTATATTTGAAATTTTCTTTACTATACTTTTTATCCCCCACAAATACTGACATACTATTTGAATCTTGACTACTTTACCGTTGCACTGCTATTTTTTGACTACTATTTATTTTCTCCCCTAAAATAAATTTCTTTCGGTCAATATTTTTATTGAGGCTAATTAAAACATTAAAAAAATAGGATAGCTCCCAACGTGGCATAGTTAATGACTTAATGAGGATATCATGCATCGCTTTCAAAATACAAAGACTCTTGAGTACGTAATTGCAATGAATGAAAATACTACAAAATAATACTTTGGTTCTTATATATTTTCAAGTATTTATCTTTCTTATACTACTACTTGATTAGTATATTATTTTGAAATAATATTTATTTATTAATTTTTGGTTTGCCTTTTGATTTGAACAATTCAATATTTGTCCGGTTACTTATTATTATTACTATTTTATCAAGTACACTGCACCCCTTAAAATGAAATCTATAATTTTGTCATTGCATATGAATATACATATATTAGAACTCCAATATCCACATTATGAAACATGCAATTATATATGCATGTCTTAAGACTTATCAAAAAACAAAAAAAAAAAAAAAAAAAATCAACAGGCCTAGCGGTACCAAGTCTCTATTTCTCAAAGAGAGGTCAGGGATTCGAGCCTCTGTGGAGGCATGTGTTTGTGAGTACCCAACTAGGAAAAAAAATAAAATAAAAATAACTTATAAAAAAAAAAAAAATGCATGTCTAAAGATACAAATCACTAAATTTGTGATTTGAATTTTGTTTTGACCCCGGTTATGTTGTGACCCGATTTTGATCAGACTATTAGGCTTTGCCTCTTGGAAAAAAAATTTTGATCCATTTTTGTCTTGCGGCTTGTAGACCCGAATTATAGTCTCTATTATAACTAGGTTTTATAGTGTGCTAGGAGAAAACATTGAAAGACAAAATGGAGTTTGGGATACACAAAATAGAGTTTGGCATAGACAAAATACTATGGAGTTAAAAACTTGTAATCTCTATTTATTTGCATATGAAATCTTTTTCCTGGTCTTCATTGTGAACGCTAAGTTTTCTTTGTCATTTCTTATATTATTTTGTGGGCCCCTTTGTCATAATATCTAAGTTTATTATTTTTCTAATTGAAATATTACAGGTGAAATTAAACTATCCAACCGAGTACCTCATTTCAATATCGGGTTACTGTGGGTACTTTTTAAATACTTTTCTTGTTGTGAAATCTATTACATTACAAAGTAATATAAGGCAATACGGACCATATGGCAAGGAAGAAGGAAGTCGTTTTATAACCCCGTTAACTGCTGGCAAGATTGTTGGATTCTTTGGAAGGGTGGGTGAACGTATGGATTCGATTGGAGTACACATTAAGCCATTCCAAATTACAATACCTAGTGTTGGTCCATTTGGAACTACCAGTGGACAACAGTGGGAAGACAAAATCTACAGCACGATAAGGGAAATAATTATACACTCCGGATGGTTAATTGATTCCTTCCAAGTTGTTTATGATATTGAAGGAAAACCACTATTGGGTGAAAAGCGTGGTAGTGACGGCGGACAAGAAACCAGGGTAATATATATATATATAATTTTTAAATTTGTGACTTATCCTCAAATTTATTTGATTTTATATTTGTCATGCCACGCATGTTTTTTTGAAAGCTAGATAGTTAGAGAACAAAATAGTTAAAAAGTATATATATTGGCAGCCCTAGTGATCCACCAAGCATGGTAGTGAATCTGGCACAAAAGTCGAAGTTAGTTATAAATTTCATTTAATACATCATAATAATAACAACAATAATCTCTCTTTTTTGTTGATGGTTATAACTCCCAAGCTTTCATTTATGCAAGTATGAATGCCATGCATGCTTACACATACTTTTCTTTACCAATACAACTTATGTAGGTCACGTTAGACTCGGATGAATATTTGCTTTCAATTTCGGGATACTATGGAGATGTAGCTAATAAGATTGTTATCCGGTCGCTTGGATTTCAAAGCAACAAAAGAACGATTGGACCATTTGGCATGGACGAGGGAGAGAAATTTGAATCCATATCCACTGGTGGCAAGATCATCGGATTCTATGGAAGGTCCGACAAGTATCTTACTTCAATTGGAGCATATCTCGACAAGTGAGGATAAAATTTACCCAATGATCATGAGCTTTAGCACTCCTTTAATCATTAATAATAACAGCATTTGCATTGATGTGGTTGTAATAATGGATATTATGTGTTGTCCTTAAAACTTGGTGAAAGTGGTTAAGGCAGCACAAACTTGTGTTTGTGTGTTTGATTTTAAGTAATTTTCATGTTTCCTTGTGTGTTAAGCCTGAAAGTTTGGGTTTGTTGTGTATTTTGTGAAACTATGCAATTCAGTGATAAGATGTCGTATGTTATATCTAGTGTTCCTTATAATAAATTAGGAGTTTTACTTGCAAAAGAATAATCATTTTGGTTGTAAAAAATTTATGTTATATGTTGGGAAATGCCATCCAACTTGCTTTGACGCCATTTATTGTAAATTAAATCCCCTTGCATTCAAGCACATGCAACAAAATATAATCTATCACATCACATCATGCAAACATATATGGAGATATAATCATTTATTAGTCAAGCACAATACACAATATTTATATAGTTCATCTAAAATTAGAGCTACATCTACCAAGATAACTATCACTATAATGAATCAAGAAGAAAATTTACAAGAAGAAAATTTACAACCGTAAAGAATGTGCTTGTTACCACTCATTCAATCACCCCACCATTGATGTTCTACCATTCACTTTTGACAACCAACTTCAATGAAGGTTGCATACTCTCTGCCTTGCACCTACTATCCCCTCTCTCACCCAAATATTCTAGCGTCTCCACTCAACTCCCCTTTGCAGTCTCTTGGAAATAACATATTCTTTTAAAGGAAGTATATCCGCAACTCATTAGACGTACAAGTGCAATTGGTCCCAAATAATGTGACCCGTTGGACTTTTCCAGCATCTTCAGAACGTACTCCCAACCAACAAAGTGAGGCAGGTTAAACTTCTTCAGAACAACACCCTTCTGGAATTTGAGACGCATCCTAACACTCTATTTAGTTTAAATATATGGTCTGATATATCATCATATGACATTGGATCTATTTTGTAGATGGATAGTTAGTATAGAAAAACTCTGCTTCATCCAAGATTCAAAACTCTATTTTTAGCTTTAGAACATGGATCATACCTAAAAGAGGAAAATATATATTTTTAATAATTAATATCTTTTACATAAAGTTGTAAACAAAATTTCCTATGAAAACTTGTAAATAACAGAGAAATCTAGCTACCACCGTTACAAGGTTACTATAACAAATTCAAAAGCATGAGCACATGGAGACATAAAAGCATTAGTTGTTATTAATAATAAAAAAAATTTATTCTATTAACAAACAAACTATTAATAAAAATTTATTTGATGTGTTTGAGTTGGCACTCAGACTGTCCATAATTTTCGAATTTTTTAATAAAAAAATCTTTCTAAAATTTGCTACCAAAATATTCCTTACATTAATTTATGATATCTAACTTTATTTTATTTTTAAAGTGAGATTAACACTTTTTTATTTTTGTTTTATTATACTCTACTTGTTTTATCTTTTAATTGTTAATTGTATAAAACCTTTAAATATCGTAAAATTATTTTCATTGTACTTTTTTAGACTAAAGTTTTAGCATTAATTACCTTTATATATATATATATATATATATATATTGCATCTTCTTTAGTCACATCACTGTTAGAAAACTCCTTCTTCATCCATTTAAATTAATTGCATTAAACCATCCGAAATACTATAAAAATTTATATAGTAGTACTCCTTGTAATATCATGCTTGAAATATCCTTATTTTTTGCTAGAGAAATAATAAATATCATGAATGATATGGCATGTGAATAGACAGTCAAGAGTAATTTAAAAGCAAATTTTTAGGGGAGAGATTAGGAGAAGGCAGAGAAAGGAGAGGAACGAAAAGAAAGAAGCACGTAAAGACTGTAATATGCAATATGTCTTCCAAATTTGGATTATGTTCGTGTAAGTGTGTATATAAGAGTGTCAATTGACGCCGTGAACCACGTGTAACGCCATGGTTACTAAAAAACTCTCAAGTATCAATTAAGAATTTTTGGTTAATTAGGACGGATGCTTTGTTAGTGTAGAGAATTGGCAAGCTCCTAAATATATTTGATCAAGGTTTTTTTTATGTCAGTTTGCTAGTTTGAGAGAGAAAGGTAAGCTGAATGATTTAGGAAAGGAAAATGCAGATGCCTCGATAGTCGAGTGGGTTAGTACTTTCGATGAACTTTGGAGTGCCAGCTGGATGATTTAGGAAAGGAAAATGCAAATGCCCCGATAGCCTAGTGGGTTAGTGCCTTCGATGAACTTTGGAGTGTCAAATATCGACTCTCTGCATCTACTAATATAACTTCTAACTCTTTTTGCTTTGAAAAAAAAAACGAAAAGAAAAGGAAAATGATATTTTAAACGACTTATTGTTGACCTTAAGGATTTCATCAAATAACAATCTAGATGTTTTGATGATAACAAACCAGTAATGGTGTTTAAGGACTAATGTTTACATTGAGTGTTATATAGATTATTCACATTCAAAGAATGACCTCAATGAAGCACGAAAGATCATTCCAAGTATTCCATTATTCAAGATCACATTAAGGAAATAAATGGATACAAAGAAGAGTTGAAGTTGTAAGGAAAGATAACTTGGACTACAACGAAGAAGAAAACAACTCAAAGAAATACTAAGGAGTTGCTAGCCGTGGTGTACACTTGGATAAATTCCGCTCTTACCTTCTTGGATCCAAGGTCATTGTCTTTTCAGATCATGCCGCTCTTATGCATTTGCTCGCTAAAAAAGAGACCAAACTCCAGCTCATTCGATGGATACTCTTACTCCAAGAGTTTGACATTGAAATTCGGGACAGAAAAAGGACAGACAATATTGTCGCAGACCATCTCTCTCGCTTACTCATTGAGAAATCTTCTGAATTTGCTGCAGTTTGCGATTCCTTCCCAGATGAGCAATTGTTTTAGATTTCTCATTTAAGTCTTCCTTGGTTTGCGGATATTGTCATCTACTTTGCGGTAGGAAAAATTCCATCCAAATGGTCAAAATAAGAAAAAGATCGGTTCTTCTACCAAGTTAAAATTTTTTTTTGGGAAGATCCGGAGTTATTCAAATATTGCCCGGACTAAATCATCCGGTGATACATTCCTGAAACTGAATTTACAAGTGTCCTAAATTTCTACCACACCCTTGCTTGTGGGGGTCACTTCAGTGCTAAGAAGACCGCTGACAAAGTCCTTCAAAGCGGATTTTATTGGCCTTCTTTGTTTCGGGATGCTTACAATTTCTGTAAATCTTATGAGCATTGCCAAAAGCTCGGCTCCATGTCTAGAAGAGACATGATGCCCCTTAATCCCATCTTAATCATAGAAATTTTCAATGTGTGGGGAATTGACTTTATGAGACCGTTTCCATCTTCCTATGGCTATAAGTATATTCTCGTAGCAAGGGATTATGTGTCTAAATAAGTTGAGGCTGAAGCTACCAAAACTAATGATCATAAAGTTGTGGTCAAGTTTATTCAATCGAACATTTTCAGTCGTCTTGGTACGCCCCGAGCACTCATCAGTGACGGCGGATCTCATTTTCGAAATCGCTATCTCAAATTCGTCCTTCTTAAATATTCCGTCATTCATAAGGTTGCCACACCTTACCACCCTCAAAAGAGTGGTCAAGTGGAAGTATCTAATCGGGAAATCAAGCATATCCTGGGAAAAATGGTTCGACTGGACCGCAAAGAATGGTCATTGAGATTAAACGATGCGCTTTGGGCTTACCGGACAGTGTATAAGACGCCTATTGGCATGTCACCATATCGACTTGTCTTTGGTAAAGCTTGTCATCTCCTAGTTGAACTAGAGCACCATGTTTATTGGGCCATAAAAAGACTTAACTTTGATCTCAAACAAGTTGGCCCTACTCGCAAATTGCAGCTCAATGAGCTTGAGGAAATCCGAAATGATGTATATGAAAGCGCCAAAATCTATAAGGCAAAAACTAAAGCATTTCATGACAAGCACATTGTCAACAAGTCTTTTACCCCTGGACAAAAAGTTTGGCTTTTTAATTCTCGCTTGCAACTCTTTCCCGGTAAACTCCGTTCGCTGTGGGATGGTCTATATGTCATTGTATTCATCTATCCTCATGGTGCAATTGAACTCCAAGATCTTACCGATGGATCTCTTTTTAAGGTTAATGGTCAATGGCTTAAGCCTTATGTTGATGGCATAGTCCCGATCCGAAAAGTCGAAAAAGTCCTATCAACGTTAAATTTAGCACTTATGGGAAGCAATTCTTTCAACTTCCAAGCTCCCCTCTTCCAAGTTACCTTAACTAAGAATTTTTCGAAAATTAACGAAGTATAACCAAAATGTGAACTCTCCCGGAATCATCTCGAATTGCGTTCCAAAAGTCACATTCGATTTTCTTAGTCATTTTAAGGTCTCGGTACCATTTTCGGAATTTTTCAAGGTCATTCCGGCAATTTTCTCGACTAATCCAAACATCACGCGAAATTCGAGATTCTAAAATATCACTTCTGCAATTGAGCTTCAATTCATATTCCGGGGCTTTTACGAGGTGTCTAGGGTCAATAGGAGCATAAATTTCAATTTTGGAAATTTTTCGATCTTGTCCCGGCCCCTGTTAGGCAAAAATTCGTGCCAAGGAGAAGTCTGCCCAAGCCTTTGCGGGCACCCACCCATTTCCCATGGGCGCCCACAAAAATGGGCAGCATCATCAAGCTCTTGCAGGCACCCTCTAATTTCCCACGGGCGCCCGCCATTTCGGGCAGAAGCATCGTAGCTCTCGCAGGCGCCCGCCCCCTTCGCGGCATCATTAAATGGGCTTTCAAGGCCCATTCCAACCTTTTAACTTCCCTCCTCTCTCATCCCAGCCGCATCTCTATCTCCCTTGCCCTCTCATCCTCTCAATTCTCACTTCCATCTTCTCCTCTTCCTCTCCCATCTCATCTTGCTCCCCCACTTCATCATCTCATCTCACTTTCA